CTCTTGACTGGACAGGGTCGCTCCACCGTCGAGTATAATGTGTGCTCCAGTGACGTGTGCACTCGCCGGGGATGAAAGGAATAGCGCTAGGCCGGCCAAATCAGTAGGCTGTCCAAACCGGCCTGCAACATGTGAAGCATTTTTGCAAAGGCTAGTATACGATCGTCCTACCAGTGGGTTGCTGTGCTATAATTTTCTCTTCCCCTGCGGACTTGAAGCCAAATGCCGTCATCTTCGTCGGAAATATTCTAGTTGCATGTATCAGATTTCTGAAACAACGAAGTAGTGGACACTGTTACCCTGGACATATGGCATTCACGCTATAGGCGATCCGTGACGTTTGAGAAGTTGTCAAACCAGACCAGGACAGAAGACGTACGTGATTTTTTGAGGACCAAGTTTGACGGCCAAAATAGAAGTCAGGTGGTTCACTAGCGGAGAACAAGTTAGCCTGCCCTCCTAATGGAGGATGGAAGATGTCTTCTGACCTGCTGCTTTACTGACGTTGTCTATATGGTCAGTAAGTATGAAGACTACGCGCACTCATTAAAGCGAGAACGACCGACATGCATACGTTCCGCTTCCTGCGGCGCTCACTAAGCCTTCCGCACGGGGTGTCACGCTGGCAGTAGAGGAAATGTTGATGACATGGCCGGGATCTTGCGCTGTGGCGTCTTTGGCAAGCCATGTAGATAACCTCCAGGGAAATTACTTAATCGCTGATTTGAAGGAGAGAGACATGCTACACACCCAGCGGTCACTGCGCAGCACGTCAGGATCCCTTAGACTTGAACAAACCGAGTGACTTACAATAAAACAAGCTCTTGACATTTACTGCCATGATATTGTCCCATCCTTTGTCCTCTGGGACGTCATCGAACGGGGAGCCCCAAGTTGCACCGGAATTGTTCACTAGGATGTGCAGTTTCTTTGACGGTTCGAGGACGGTCAATGCGGAAATAAGTGCCTCGACACCAGCTTTATTCTGTTCGTTGGCAAGATAAGCGACAACTCCCAACAACTAGGAATCATATCTAAATTAAAGAACCCACACTGATATCCGCAACGATATAACGTGCACTTCCTGAGCATTGCGCATTGAGTTCCGCGGTAGTCTGTTTTGTCGAGTTGAATGAAGTTGAATGAATGAGAATCACACCGTCATCTGAGACTTCGTCCTCTACCTCTTTCAGTGCACCTTCTTTGCGGGCTGCGATGTATACCTTGGCCCCGTTCTGTGCCAATGCAGACGCGATTGTCTTTCCGATTCCTGTGCCGCCCCCGGTTATAAGGGCTGCTCGACGTGTTCATCCATGGAATGGGATGCGTGAGTATTCTGGAACCGGAAGCTGGAAACACCACAAGAACCTATTTTTCCTTTAACGCTAAAGAGCGCTTGGACGGATAAGTCTTGACAAGCGACCACACGTGAATCACGCTGTCGGGACTTTGTAAGAAAGTACTTACCTGAAGCCATTGTGGTTCCCTAATGAAAATCCAAGGTATGACTGCTATTAGCAGGTCTGTGAAGACAAGTGAGACACCGACACAATAACCCTGTCAATGTCGACACGGGGGTGAAAGTGCGAACCGGTTACTATGGACCGGATATGGACCGGTTGCCGAGGCTATATAACGTGCAACGTTGGAGACGAGTTCAAATTGATTCCCGTATTAACGACCAAGTTCGTCTTCGCGCTGCTTGCTTCGAGATTTCGATTATTTGCGTCGTCTCGCCGCTGTCTGTCCACGAATGAAGCAGATTGTTCAAAACGACAGGAAGAAGGCACGCTAAGCTCCAGGATGTTATATACGACTACTGGAGAGGTCTTCAAGGGATGTGCTCGGCTGGCTGCTAAGGACAGTGGCAACGTGTTGGAGCAAGAAGCCATACGCAAACGCAGCCATAGCGGCCTTTATGCCCTAGCGATCGGTGATATGGCTTTGCCTCCTGGCGACCACATGTTCGTGGGCTGCACTTCGTGTATAAGAAGCTTGAACCGTCTTTGAATGAGTCCAACACGACTTTTTCCCGCAGATGCATCCCTTATCTCTTTTCTTTCCGGCCGCTGTGCTGGCTTTTGCTGCCGCAATGCCTCACCCGACCACCACTCTTTCGATTCCTATTCGCAAGAGAAGCAGCCTTGCAACAAATGGTATGGTCGAACTGGCTGCCCTTCGTTCCCATGTCGCTCTTTCTGAAGCGTATGTACTTCATCGTGTTACAGTTGTGATAATCTTATCTGCTGCTTCAGTAAAGTGTTGAGAGGAATGGCAGCTTTCGAGAGAAATACAGGCTTGACTCTGGGGTGTTCGAACCCAGTTGACCGACGCACAGCTGGTCCTGTTGCCCTCACGGACGATGGAAACGAAAGGTGGTATGGTTCTATACAAGTTGGTACCCCAGCTGTCGAATACAAGGGTTAGTATCATGATTAATGGGCTTGCGCGAACATTGCATACTCATTCTCTCCCAGTGGACTTTGATACCGGTTCTGCAGATCTATTCCTCCCTGGTTCAAATTGTGGAACCTGCAGTGGTCACACATTATACAACCCTAACGCCAGCTCGTCGTCTACTGATCTTAATAAAACGTTCATCCTCGAATACGGCGATGGCTCTACGGTCCAAGGCGAACAGTACACCGACACCGTTATCCTCGGAGGTTTTACGGTACGGTCGGTGTTTCGCACCATTCTTTATTCCAGGCCTTATTATTCTGAAGGCTACCAACCAAGCGCTGGGCGTGGCTTCTCAATACTCCTCAAGTCTCTCGTCTCCAAACTTTACGCCAGATGGTCTTATGGGATTGGCATTCGAATCTCTTTCACAATTCGGTGCAAATCCAGTCTTTCAGACTCTCGTATCTGATAACTTGGTTTCTGACCCCGTTTTTGCTTTCAAACTTGCTTCCTCCGGATCTGAGCTCAGCATTGGCGGTGTGAACTCAGCGCTGTACAGTGGCTCAATAACATACACCCAAGTTACTCAACAGGTAAGTGTCTCTTGGACTGCCGACACGAGGCTGAGCATCGAGTGGCTAGGGCTTCTGGCAAGTAAACGTGGACGCCTTAAGTGCCGATGGAGCGGACATCATCACAGACTTTTCGGCGATTGTTGACACGGGGACGACTTTGATCCTTGGCGACAGCGCAATGGTAGGCCAATTCTATGCTGCACTCAATGCGACGAGCATTGGGAGTGGCTACTATACACGTGGGTCGTATGAATCGCACCTGCTTTTCCGTTCTAAGGTCTGCGATGACCAGTTCCCTGCAATTCTATGCCCAGCGTCAGCATCACCATCGGTGGGAAAGCGTTTGCTTTGTCGGCAGATACTTTTAACCTTGGAGCCTACGATACTTCTGGAGAGACTTGCGTAGGTGCCATCACTGCCGGTGGCAGTCTTGGTGGTACGTCCACTTCCTGGTCCATTTCTTAGTTTTGCCAACGACACCTTTGTTGCAGACATGTGGATATTGGGAGACACGTTCTTGCGCAACGTCTATTCGGTGTTCGACCTAGGTCAAGCAAGGGTCGGTTTTGCTAACCTTGCGTAAAAAAGAGAGGTGGTTTATAGAGGAAGCTGCGGTTGAACTGCAGGCCTGCAGGGCTCAGGCGTGGACGCTTTGGACTATAGGACTTTCTAACATTAATCCCCGATAAGTATTCGCGACATCTTGACGGACAGTCGCCATTCGTTGTATACCAGTCATAAGCTGAGCTGATGATCAGTCTTGCATTTATGAGCACGTCATCGCATGATCATCTGGATGGGCTCTAATGCTACACTTCTGGTCTGCGCAGAGCTTGGAACATAACAGCCAGTAAGTGAGTCACTGATGCCCTCCCCATCGACCAAGACATTAGATCATATCGTACACCTCACACCGCCTGGGACAGTCGACGAAGTATCGCGCCAGTTCAGAGAACTAGGCTTCCAGTTCGTGACTCTTCCTCGATATCAGTTCGATCAGACACTCATCCTCAAGCTATCTACAGCGTCACACCTGGAGGTACACATGCAGGAGGCCTAACATCCAACGCACTCGTGGTATGTCAAAATGCCTCAATCGATTCGCGCTCTCCACAGATCTCCACAGCTCCGCTAAAGAACATTGAACACAGATCCTCCAAGACGGCGCTTACCTCGAACTTATTTCCTTCACTCACCCGGCTTCGCACTACCTACCCGGCTCTCCCGACCGCCAAAGGCGCGACGCAAACCCATGGGCATGGAAAGAACCAGGATGGATCGATTTCGCTTTCCTCGGTTCGTCGAGCGTGTCTATCGCGAGCGTGATAAACGAGCGTGCAGAGAGAGACGCAAGCGGGGCGCGATACGTTCCAGAAGTGAACGGGGGACGCGTGCGAGAAGATGGCAAGGTGTTGAAGTGGGTGATTAGTGCCCCGGATGAAGTGCACGGCAGAGGCACTCTGCCGTTCTTCTGCGGCGACGTGACGCCTCGCGAGTGGAGGGTAGGTGATTTGCAACCTGTCGTTTTTCAATTTCGGACGTGCTGCTTATCGTTGTTTCTTGGTCGTGTGTAGGTCCCAATCGAGCCCCCGTCGAATGCGGAACATCCTGCTGGTGTTCTGGGTATCGCCCACGTTCGTTTATTAGCAGAGGCAGAGTCGTTGTCCAGTGTATCTGCGCAGGTGGCTTCTGTGGTCGGTGATCCTCCGCGAACGAGTACCGAGTCTGAGTATACTTGGCTTCTGGAAACCCCATCGAGTTCTGGATTAACCTCTGCACCAAAACCACTTCTGATCTTGAGCGCGCCGGCGGACGAAGCAGAGGAGGCATATCTTGCGGAAAGAGGACCCGGCATTTATGAAGTAGCGTTTCGGGTGGGCGATGGTAGAAAGGTAGGAGAGTCCACAACGCCCTATGGAAAGATAGTGTGGTTGCGGTCGTAGGATCGTCAGACCGGTGAAACGCAATAAAATTTAATTCCAAGCTGTCGTGTGTTGAGACGACAAAAGGGAAGAGAAAAAATGACCACCGCAGGGGTCGAACCTGCAATCTCCTGATAAACTGGTGAATTTTGCACCTTCGTAGTCAGACGCGATGCCATTTCGCCAGGCGGCCGATAACTTTGGATTAGCATTTGTGGAAACGGACTATGAGCAATTGGAGGTAGTTGCGCAGGATTTACACCGCTTGTGACTCGGGTGGATCAGATTTCCTAGAGCCGTGCCCGAAGTTGACCAACGGCTCGGGATGTCGATATGCTCCTTAAACGCTGAGAGAAACTTTGCTATGTGTTCCCCGAATTGACAGCTCTAGCACATGGATCATTGCAATGCATAGTACAGTGGGAAGTGAGGGATATAGGTTGAAAACGACGAGACAACAGTTTGACGAAGATATGTATACGTGCCAAAATCTAGCAAAACTGGGACTGGGGGGACCAACAGGTAGATATACAGGCCAGAAGATCCGAGCTCATATCAAAAAGACGAGAACCATGCAACGGAGAAAGCCGTCTCATGGATGAAGACAAGTACACCAAGTCGGACAGCACTCACAGCAGTCCCTTTCGAAGGAATACTCCGGCTCGACACACTCTCTGTCGAAGATGATTGGTGGCGCCGCTTGCAAAGGCCCAGTGCCGGCATATGGTGCCGAAGGCTGCATTGTTGATGTGCCGCGTTGGTTCTCTTGTCGCGTGCGTTGATTACTATTGCTCGTAGCTTCAGCCTCAGCTTGTGGAGCCCCTGATGCACTTGCATGCATGGTTGCTTGGACGCCCATTGTCGGGGTGCCGTGTGGGTCCTTTCGGTGCGTACGTTGAGCAGCATCGCTCGTGGCTACATCCTGAACCTGTGGAGCTGCTGATGCACTCGCATGATTGGATGTCTGAGCGGCAGCTGCATTTTCGCCGTCCGTCATGTGCTGTCTGGCACTTCCACCCCCATCACTGGCAGTACCGTCGTCGGATACGTCTCGTAGTGCCTGCGGTCGTGGGGGAGTTGGTGATGGTGCAACAGCGACGAACTAGGATGGTGATCATCCGACGTACGTGGTGAGCAGACTATCGACACAGATCTCTGCATCAACTCACAGTTCTCATAATCCCGTACGCGATTCGTACAGGTCTCGACATCAGTCGTGGGCGCCTCTCTTGAAGTTCGTGTGCATCTGTCGGAGACCGTGGGCTGTGAAAAATATTTGCGATGACACGGCGGAGTCGGGAAAATATTATGAATGATCGGTGTTGCTGACCAGCGCTAGTAGGCACTGCCGAAGAAAAGCTTGGGCCAGGTGCCTACAAACAGGATGGGTCGACAGAATGAGTATGCAAAGTAGGGCAACTTACATCCAGAGGGAAGCCCAGACTGATTTCCTGAATGTGCTCGCCTGGTGATAGTGCCGGAACACCAGTAGCAGGCAGCTGCGAGGTGGGGATGAGCTATCGCAAACAAGCGAGCTGAGAATGGGGGTACAAACATCAAGCAACGAGTCAGAAACCTAAGTGGATGAATCAGTACTGGGAAGCAAGCAAATGCAAAGATGTTAACCAAACTTACATCACTGTGGATGGATCCTGCATTCTGCCGAAAAATGTGTCGTTGAGGAAGGCCACAGAAATGCAAGCATGTGAGCAAGACTTACATCACTGTGGATGGATTCAGGATCCTGCACGAGAACGTGTCATTGAGGAAAACCGCAGAGATGAGGTGACGCACAGGAAAGTTGATGATTTCACCCGTCTCAACATCGCGAAGTATCATGGAACAATCATGCGATCCAGTCACAATGAACTTCCCGTCGAGCGAGAACGCGGCAGACGAGACAACGCCATAGTGGCCTTGCAGTTGTCCAAAGATCATCTCACCAGTTGATGCATGCCACAAGGAGATTGTTCCGTTATCTGAAGTGCCGCATATTCTTGTACCATCCGGTGAATAGGACACTGAGGCGAATGAAGAGGATGAGTTGAGTTCAAGCAGGTGTGTGCCAGTCTTTGCATCCCACACATGCGGATTCCCCACCAAAAATTGTCCACTGACGATACGAAGGCCATCGGGTGAGAAAGCAATGGATGAGATAAAACCAGGGCTTCGAGTTAATGGTCCAACAACAATTTCCGCAGTTGAGAGATCCCACACATAGATGCCAACACCACCGCCAGCGAGTCGACTTCCATCTGGGGAGAATGAAATAGTGGGCTCTGGAATAGTGGAATGCGGTCGTTCCATCGCACTGAGCATTTCGCCCGTCTGAGAGTCCCACACAAAGATCTCCCCTGGCCAGCTAGACGTTGCAATGAGTCGGTTATTTGGCGAAACCGTGACGCATAAGATGTCGCCTGAATGCCCTTCCAACGGCCCGAGGACGATGTCACCACTGCGTGTGTCCCAGACTTGGATCGTCCTACCTATTCCACTGACCAATCTCATCCCGTCCGTTGAGATTGCAATCGACTTCACTTGATCGTCCTGCGTTATCCAGGGCGCCCCTATCTCCTTGCCGGTGCGAGCATCCCAAATGCGAATGCTGCCGTCCTCCGATGCACTTGCAATGCGGTCACCGTCAGGAAAGTATGCAACCTCGTAGATTTTTCCAGTGTGTCCCCGAAAAGGACCAGTGAGTCGATATTGGTGTATCTGCGCATCTGCCAACTACAAGTTCACGTCAGATACGAAACCAAGCACGGCTAGCCTGCTTACCTCGGGTGATACAACTTCGAGTGTCCGTGAATTCCAAACTCGCATGGTCCCATCGGTTGCCCCTGTGACAAACCGAGTCCCATCAGGTGCAAAGCTGACTGCAGACATCCCTGTACCATGCCCTTTGACAGGCCCACCGATCAGCTTGCCTGTGTTCGAATCCCATAGACGGAGCGAAGTATCGAAGGAGCCACTGAGAAGTTGGTCTCCATTGGGCGAGTACGACAGACGGAATACGCCTCTGGTATGGCCTGTCGGCAAGGTTAACAGCGCGGTCGCAGTCAGAGCATCCCAAGTCCGAATGGTACGATCACCAGAGCAACTGGCCAGTTGATTCCCATCCGGGCTGTACGTAACGGCGAAGACCCGATCCGTATGTCCTTCCAACGGTCCTAAAGCAAGTAATCCAGAGACGACATTGAAGATACGAATCTTGCCGTCGTTGCATCCGGTGGCGAGACGGCATCCATCGGGTGAGAAACTGACAGAGTTGACGACGTCTGGATGCTCGGGAAGCTCTATAGACAGTGTCAAGTCCTCCGCACGCCATACGCGCACCATACGATCATCTCCGCAGCTAGCCACGTGTTCATTATCTGGTGAATAAACGACCTCGATGACCCGAGACGAATGCGCGGACCAGTCGTCCGATATAACTTGTCCATCACTGGCGTTCCATACGCAAACTCTGCCATCCTTATCCCCACTTGCTAGCCTCTTTCCATCGGGTGAATAGCAGATGGATATGAGGGTGAGTGCCCCTCTTGCGTGCTCAAGTATCATCTCCCCTGTATCCGAGTCCCATATTCTGAAGTAAGGCCTCGATCCTCCCGTAGCAATTTGTCTGCCGTCAGGGGAGTAGCAAATGGCACAGATGCTGCCATGCTTATGACCCGCGAACTTGGTTATCGGTTCCTTGATACTATCGAAAATACTCGTGCCCGTTGCGAAAGGTGAAAGCGAATTATAAAGGTTGTTCAATTCTCGGTTGGACCTCATTGGCGCGGTACTAAATAGCACCCTTCACCTCTTTTGGGACTAAGAGGGTACGGAATGGGAATAATGAAGGTGCTGGGCTTGCTGAACAAAGAGGTGTGAGCGCGATCGCTGTCGATATCGCGGTAAACGCGAAAACGGATGCGAGAACTTGAATGCAACAGAGAGCAAGTGGGAGAAGGTAGTCGTCGAGGTGAGGAAAACGATGCCTACAGCATTGTAGCCTCAAGGCGAGCGAGATCCATCCACGCGTTGTTATCACCTGGGAAATGGTGCCCACAGAAGAATTCGTAGTTCAAATGCCGCGTTTCTCGACCCGGTCTTCGCCCTTCCACTGACATGTCATTGCACAAGAATAGTCGCGACTCCGGATCGACCGCCAATCCGTGCACGACGTAGTCTACTGGTCAAAGGATGTGTTGTATCATGAGAACTGCATCTCGTCAGACGAACCATGACACCGCCGAGGCATGAAGCATTCAGTTCGACGAGTGTATCGCCAAATTCTGACACACCTGGTAAGTATCAATATACAAGGCGGCCAACGCTACGGAGTGACTGCCGACGGACCAAAAAACGAGCTGGATACGCTGTGACGTGTGCCCTCCGCAGAATTAGAAATGAAACCCTACAGTAACACTTTGAACAATGAGTCCGAACCTTCAATTCATGCCAATTTGGGTGAGAAACTCGACGACTCGTGCCCTTCAACGAAGAGTTAAGATGTGGCCAGCATTAGCATTTCGTCACGAGGGACCCATGCTTTAACTGATGTCCACGGCAATGAAGGACACTTGGTATATTGCTAGCCCTTGGAAATGCGCGAGACTTAGAACGAGACAGTGCCTTCCAATTCAGCCATCCTTGGACGGACGGATAACTGTCGAACCGCCACTGAAACTTACCTGTCCCCCTTCAAGCAAGCAAAGTCCAACACTGTCGTCGTCTCTTCATTCGGAAAAGACCGGTGTCGAGCATAGCGGCTGATACTTTTCGTGCAAGATTCTGAGCATTGAGACCAATATCGTCATATTGCTCGCGGTCTCGTTGAAACGATGGCGATTTTTTTTTTTGCTTCTTCGAACGTCGTGGCCAGACATCCGTGATGTGCGTGAGCGGTTGTGCACTCCTTGAGGATGAGAGGGAAGTACTAGACAAAAGGTGGACCCACTAACACGTGAGGAATTCCCTCTAAGATTTCCATGCACCCGTGCACAGCGCAGAACCCGAAGGTGTCTATACATTGAAGGAACAACGTGAGGGCAGATTTATATTACTATACAGTGTGTGGTTGGGACGAGTGAAATACATGCGGCTCCTTCACAAAAATAATTGTACAGTAGGAATTTCAGAGGCCATATTTTTTAAGTTGATGAGAATGTATACCGAATCTATTAGTACTCGAGCAGCGAGCTGTGA